AATGAAACACAGACAAGGCAATTGGAACAAATCAAAATATCCAGTATGCAAAAATAAAATTTTCATTATTTCTATTATTGCATTACTGTCCGATCTATGTAATAATAAAGCAAATCATTTTTTAGATTAAAAGATATACAAGAACCAAAACCACGTCCTACACATTTAGGATTAGGCGCAAATATTTTACCAACTAAAAAAAAGACATAGAAATACTTTCTCTATTCTATTAATATCAATATTTACTTTATTTCTTTTGTATATATTATTAAATTATTATGTTATTAATATTTAAATTGAAAAAAAGTTATATATTACTATATGATTAATAATAAATAATAAATAAATAGAATAATATATATAAAATCATTTAAACTATAAATCTATATCGTTATTTCTTTTTGAATAATTAATTTCGTAAAAAGGATTGTCGCCCAAATATTCCTGCTTATTTTTTATATCTTTATCGGGAGAAGGGAAAAAAAATTAGAATGTAATGTTAGATAACCATAAAACATAATTTTTAATTTTTAAAAGAATCACATTTTTCCACTTACTCAAATTAGTAAGAAGCCTTTCGAAATGTGGCATATATTCTTGATTATGTAGATAAAGTTCAAATTCTAAAGATGAAAAAACTGAGAATTCTTGTTCTAAAATTTCTTTTTTCGTAACCTCCAAATTTTTATGTAGTGACTAAAATTTATTTTTATTTAGAACATAAATGAATAAATTTGATTTGAAATGGAAATCAATGAATAAAGAAAAAATATATATACCTCTAATAATGGTGTATATAACATTTTCATTGGTTCATTCACTTTACTGGCTAATAATAAACAGATTGCTAATAATAATAATAATAATAAATCATTAATATAAGATTTTTTTATAACAAATATTCAAAATAATAATTATTTATATATCATAAAAACACCTCCAATCAACTTTCGATTCGACTTATTCACCACATTCTAGAAATTCAATAAAAAAATTCAATTTTAGAATCAATACTAACAAGAAAAATCGAGCAAAGCAAAAAAAAAAAAACCTTTAAAATAAGTTTTTCAAAATATGCATATGATTTCGCGATCGTAGAAAGTTCTAAATCTAAACTCTAGTTTTTTAAACAAACATATGATTGACAATTAATAACAGGACACCATCTCCTACTCCTTAATAATAATAAAAAAGGCGATTTCATCTATCA